AACCACACCCTCTTCTGCACCCTGCGGAGAGTGGGTGGTACACAGGTTCATACCTGTGGTGGCAATCGTCTCTTATGACCCTGGAGACCAACTCCACTATCTAGGGCCTGAAAAATAGTCAAGGGGTTTGACTTTGACGGCAGCAACGGACTACAACGTCCAATTATAGAACATCTAAAGAGCAAAGGCTAAAAGAGGATCCCACTCTTCTCTCACAAACATAATCTGCTTAACCCCCGTGCACGGCCACAATAGATCGCGCAAACATTCAAGCCATAAATGTATATATATATATATATATATATATATTTATATAAATAAGGGTCATTAATATAGGACGATCACTTCTCACAGTCACAGTGGGACTCCTCTCAGCCATATATATGTGATCACAAGCAGCGATATCCAGAGTCCAAACCACAGACATACCTGCAATCATATCAAAGATCCAACAAAAGTCCATGCACTACACGGGGTCAACTTCAATCATTCTCTGCCTTCATACCTCTTGCTTTAGCCATACAAACCTCAACCTTAGCGCACTCTCCCAACAATAAAATACCAGTATCTTTGTTGAATAACCATTCAATAAAGGCCGGGTAAAAACACAATGAAACATTTCAAACCACAGGGCTAAAGCCTTTAGGTTGAGTGGCAAGAGTGGATTGGAGTTGAATCGTAAACCGACGAATCGACAACCGACCTGTTATCAGTGATAACAGAATGTGATCCTTGTAGGATCAAGTTGAATCTAGCCTAGATCTCGAATCAATCGATCAAGAGGACCTGTAACACATGACATGCCAATCCCCAAACTAAATCTATAAGTTCATGGAGAATAACCCCCATATCAAAATCTTACTTAAATTGTCCTAATTAACTAAGCCTAAGCCTACCTCTAAGCAAATGCTCAAATAAAGGTAGACCTTTGGCAGAATCTCCTCTATACAGAGTGAATTGTCATAATTGTCACCTGTCGAAATATAATCTAACTCCTTCAAACTAAGAATATTCCGGCAGCGCTTCCCGTAGGAAAAATGTCTTTTCAGAATTTATATCAGCCCGAATATAAAACCAGAAATAGTCTTTGACTTTCCAAAGTCAAATTTTGTCAACTCCCTGAATTACCAAAAAATTGGGCAGCGCTCCCTTTAGAAAAGGAGGTTTCCCATATTTTTACGAAGCCATATAAAATTTAGACAAGTTGAACTTTGAAAAACCAAAAGTTGACTAACTCCTTGGATTTGCATAAATTTTGGCAGCGCTTCTCGTAGAGAAAGTAGCTTACCAAAATTTATATAAAGCCAAGTAGAACAAAAGATGCCTGAAAGCGCGAGAATTTGATCTAAGTAAAAAAAAACTTAGCTCAGAAAATGCAGGAATTGAAACTAACTTCTATGGCTCTAGCACGTGGCGAGCGACTAAAGCAACTACCTATCAAACTGAAACTCAGACTAAGTAGTAGCCTCACTCAGTCACATGCAGGTCAAACCACAAAGGTAAATACTTTCATCATCCCAAAGTTAACTTAGCGAACAATAGTTCATAGTCTTTCAATGATTTATCCCCTTATACCCAGCTTACATAAGACATAAAGCTAGACCACCCAAACTTATAGAACATGTCTAGCTCAGCCATGGAGTATACACAAACACAGGGCACAACAATTTTTCTCTTCTTTGGGCATGTGACTAGGCCACCCTAGTCGCCCTGAACTGTTTAAGTATCCAAGATTTATATAATTGTCTGCACTTAGTCTTTTGAGGTAGTATATAACTGAACCGATCATCTTCAGCTCAAGATTCAACCTGCCCCTTCGTACCACAAATTTATTCTTAATTAGTACTCTCTTCAGTTGGTGATAGGCTATAGTTAGACCACCCAAACTTATGGAACCCTGTCTGACTAGCTTGTTCATAAATAATATGATAATAAAGTATAGCCAAATTATAACCTTATGGTTTCAGCATGTGCGAGACGTTTGGACAAAGACCACCCAAACTTATGGAACATGTCTTGGCCCTCAGCCTGGTTCATTTCTCTTAAAGCCAAAGCAGGAAGAGGTTGAGCCACACAAACTTATCGAACATGCTCAGACCTCCTCGTTCAGGAACTAAAAAAACTAACAAAAACCCAAAGTAAACAAGGCGACCAAGCCACCCAAACTTATGAAACATGCTTGGTCCCTGAAAATCATCCACATTCAGCCCTCACAAGTCAGAGCAACCAGACCACCCTAACTTATGGAACATGTTTGGCTCTCCAGACAATTCAAAAATAAACATAGCACTGGGCCTTCCCAAACTTATGGAACTGGTCCAGCCTTTGGTTGACCCAGTCAAACATGCAATACTGCCTTCCTCTCACCTTTCCCCCAGATGCAATCCCACAATCTGCTTTCAGTCAGACAACCAAAACTGAAATTGCGTTATACATACATTCCTTTATTTAGTCTGATCATGTTCTGAAAATTACACATAAAGTCAAAGTAAGGCTGCATACCATATACACAGTCAAACATGCAATGGGCAACACAAATAGGGGCTATAATCTGGATTTATAGAGAGAAGGCAATGATTACCTTTCAGTTGCCTGCCTCCAGAACTCCTCCTGAGTTCCGGCAGAGCTCCCGCAATCGGTAGGCCGACTCCCCACAGAGTCTTGCTACGGTCCTACGGGTTGCAATCCTGCCTGCCGCCTTCCTTTCAGAACTGGATTAGACTTACAGTAAGAAAGGCAGGAGATAAGGAGTTTCAAACGCTCGAGATACAAGAGGGGGACAACTCAACTCTCAGGAGAGGGCCTTGATACCTTCACTCGCCTAAGGGCCCCGCAATGGCGGCCAGAAAACAACAGCTTGGTCAACTCTGACTCACACTGCCAAAATCAATCCTCTGACGATTTCCCAAATCCCAACACTAATCTCCCTTCCCAAGCTCAATCACTCCTCTGAGTCCCGACACCTCTTCTTAGCCCAATCGCCGCTGTATAGCAGGCCGTAGTAGTTGCCAACGGCCGGTTGCGGCGCCAGCAGTATACAACAGCCAACAGTAGACAATAGCAATACCCAACAGTTAGCAGCAGTTCACACACAGTCAACAGAAGCAGCAACAACTCGTGCATAGTCAACAGAAGCAGTCTGTGCCCATCCCGCAGCAGCAGCAGCAGTTTGTGCCCAGTCCGCAGCAGCAGCAGCTTCCCGCAGCCCGTAGCAGCCAACAGGAGTTTGCACACAACCAGCAGCAGCCCGCAGCAGCAGTCTGTGCACAGTCCGCAGCAGCAGCAGGTTCCCGCAG